TTGGAGAAAATCAGTAGAGTGACACAGTTGGTGCTGCGACTCCCATCTCTACGTAATCTGCTGTGCAGCACTTTTATTTTGGACTAGATTTAGTGGAGCCTCTCAGGATCAATATCCATGCCACAACATGTGTTGAAACTGCTCAGAGCTGTTACATGCTTGGACCTGTGTGCCCCCTTAGGGGTTGAAGCATGACCAATAACCATTGCATTGGTACATTTCCATCTCCAGTTTATATTTCTCCTTCTTCCTTCCTTTCTTCTATTATATTTCATAAAGAATTCACATCATGTATACAAAAACTGGTCTGTGAACAAAACCATTGCACAGTAAGTGGGAATAGTGCTAAGGGAAGAAGGATTTGCTTCTAAATTGCACTATTGCTCTGAACCAAATACTAATGTAAACCAAATACTAATGTAAACATAGCCTTCAGCTAACAGAACAAGGCCTTCTCCTATATTTTACAGACAACAGATAGAGTATGAAGTCAAATAGATTCTATTCTGTTAACTTTAAATTAATTTAGCCTGACATGAATGTGAGGACAGAGAGGAACATGATGGGAGTGGAAAATGGATTTATGACAAACAAGGCAGCACTCATTGAATATTTACATGCCTACTTACATGTTTATTTTGCTCATTCTGGTTTTTACTGTTCCCCCCGACAGCTGTACCTTTAGTTTAATGTCTTCAAATCTTCTGTTCAATTAAAGTATGATGAATATAAAGTATCTTTATATATATAAAAACATACGTATACACACACACAGAGCGAGAGTATGCCTTATATAGAGTTTACAAATGTGCCCAAATTACAATGCTTTGGACTGAGAACATCCTTTTGAATTTCATGCCTACTTTTATTGACCTGAACTAAAGATCTTTCATTGCAGATTAAGTTTGCATGTCCTTTTTCTGACCGCAGCAGAACAAAGAGGTTATTGTACCCGTCCTGCCCATAGGTGTTTGTTGTCCTCTGCTGAAAGTTGCAGTCCTCTTAGATGTGTCAGAAAATACTGCATATGTGGCTGCTCTCCAAACCAGTTATTTCAGGATGCCTACATTAGCTCAGGTATTCTTAATATTTAAACCAGGTCACTTTGACAGAACTACATTAGGGAATAATTACACAAGAAGTTGTGCTGACAGATGGGGAGGAGCTGTTGTCTCTGAGCACAGGACAGGGAGGAGCAGTTGCAGTGGTGCCGTTTTCACCTGGCACAGCTGTAGCCGAACAGCACTCTGGCCTGCAACCTTACCTTGTTCTTGTCCCTTTTTTGAAAAAGTGTAGATGCGGTATATTTTGCTAACAAAAGCAATTAAAATCAAAGTATCTGCTTCCTCAAGGAGAGAAAGCAAACATGAACCAATTCTCACCACATTCATGGAAGGGAAGGGAAATTTACCATTTTACAGATGAGAAATCACAGATATAATTATGGTGTGTGGGATTATAATTTGGGCCCTCCACTGTTGGATTATACCTCTGAGCAGTGTGCTGTTTTTCTGTCACTTTTTCTGCTGGCTGAGCTTTTGAGTGTCATTGATCAGTACCCCATGCGGGGAAAGTGATAACTTAGTACGTTAACATAAACAGGGAGATGTTATCTTTTGCCACCCAGATAGTTTGCCTGATAACTTTCCCTCACACTTATCTTTCCTTTTTATATAATTTTTCATTTTGTTTTGATTCTTCTACGACACCTGAAAACTAACTAGTAGCAGCAAATCCTGGCAGTACAGATCCTTTTAATCACTAGAAATAAGTATTAGCCCATGGCAGAAGGCATTGGACACGGTAGAAATGGTAGTTGGCATGAACTAGTTATTGCCAGCATTTCTGGAGTGATTATGGCAAAGGATGTGGTCTTGCTTTTCCCCGGCTGTTTAGGGGCACTCTGGCAGTTTTTAACTCTCTGAACTAACTTGACATAAGATAAGAAAAGCACCCCTCAGCTCCAGGGTAACAATAGTGGGGGGAGAAGCAATACTGCCTGTGTGGATGTTACCTAGCTGTTCCAACAGGTTCGCTGTGTCATCAAACCGCACCATAATTGAAGTGTCAGGAAGTAGGAATGTAGACTTTTTTTCCCCACCCAGTTATATTCTTTTTTTCATTGTAATATTTGGATGTAAGCCATTAGTGTCTTCTAACATAGGACTTTGAGGTGTCTCGCATGGTATTTCATGTCATGTCACCACTGTGTACCAAAGTAGAAATGGATGACTTGGACAAGATTTGGTTTT